GCGGATAGAAGAAGAAAAAAATAAGTTAAAATTCATGTAAAAATATAAAGATTTTAGTGATCGATATCGGTATAAAAAAAAGCGTTACAAAGAATGTGCTGCAAAATAATAAAAGATTGTAACAAAATGTTACAAACTAAGGATGGAAACATAATGCAGGGGATAACATAAACAGATAGTCCTACGCTATTATTATACCTCAAAATTCTCAAAAAAGCGTGATATTGAACGATTTAAAATTTACAAGCTGTTTTATTTAAATTATGTAATGGCGTAAGTTACCGCCAAACAATAATAAATTGAAAGGCCATTATTTTTACCATAATAATAATATAAACGAGATTAGTTCATATGTTTATTTTATATATATACTGTATATATATTTTATAAATCTTAATGTTAAAGGTATTAATTATTTTATTTTATAAGTTTTATATCGTTATAAAAAAATTAATTTTTACATTAAACGAATGATGAATAATGAAATAACTATTGATTGATTAAGTATCTAGATTATTATAACTTATCATATTGTTGTATTCAATTCTTTTGTTTTTATTTAAGTAGAAGGTTTTTAATTAAAGAATACTGAAGTAGTTATGACGTTAAAATTATTTAATAAAACTAATTAAGTTCGGCGCTCTACAAATTTCGTAATTTCAATTTATTACTCAATAAATGCTAAATACCAAAAGCTAATTAATTAAAACTACGCATAAAACAAATTAAAATAAGAATATTCAAGTTAAAAGGGCAAAAACGATTATATAGCAATATTGCAAGGTGAAAGAAGGATCGATTTATATGAAATTATGTTTTATCATGTTAAGAAATCCGCTGTATATAAAAAAATAAAAATAGTTAGGACAGCCTTGATCTGCAAGAACTAACCAAATTTACGGAATTACTTTTTTTTTTAGAAATAAGTTTCGCTTTGTTACTAGTTGGAAATTTAAAAAAGAATATAATGTTATCATTAAACGTAGGTGAATACGATAATTTTGATTAGTTGAATTTTTTGTAAGCGAAACCTATTTCCAAAATTAAAATTAATAAATGTCCGATAATGTCGATCATTAATAAAGCATCTGCTTGGGCGTTTTGTGTTACTAAATAAATTACTGTATTTGGACACAGATTAGTAATTTGTCGAAAAAAACTTCTTTTTACTTGTAAACATGAATATCGAAAAAGACAAAAATAATCTACCGCTTACTTTGGTTGGTTAGAAAAGGCAATATCAGAAGACTATATTAAATACTATGATTATGCAAAGTTCACTAATAAGGAAGAAATTAGTAGTGGATCTTATGGAAATATTTCTCGTGCAAACTGGAACGATTCCGATACCGTTATGGTTCTAAAATCTTCATACAATTCAGATATTAAAGAAATCGTTAATGAGGTATGCTATTAAAGAATTGCAATGCAATTAATTATCTTCTTTTATGATACAATCTACAAATTTACTTTAACGTTAATATAATAGATAAAAATGCAACGCGAGGTTGATTATCATGCGAATATCATAAAATTTTATGGAATATCAAAATTAGAAACGGATTCCATTAACCGAATAAATAAGTAATTGTTAGTTATGGAGTACGCCGATGGTGGATCATTGCGATCTTATTTAGAAGAAAATTTTGAAAAACTTGAATGGAATGATAAATATAAATTAGCCTTTCAACTTGCAAATGCTGTAGCATGCATGCATGATGAAGGAATCATTCATTGTGATTTGGTAGTGTGTTTAGTCATTTAAATTATCTCGTCTTATTTTTGATTGTCCATACTAAATATTATGAACATTATACATATAGCATGCGCAAAATATACTTTTACATCAGAATAATGTAAAGCTAGCGGACTTTGGTTTATCTCGAAAGATAACTGATGCAACTAATCATTTAACGGATGTGTTTGGTGTCATTCCTTATGTTGATCCAAAATATTTTAATAATATTAAAAATAAAAATAAAACCAACATTATATATTAAATTCTAAATCTGATGTTTACAGCATTGAAGTTCTACTTTGGCAAATTTTAAGTGGACATATGCCTTTAATTCTAAGAATGAAGAATATAATGTGAATTTAGTTATGAATATTAAAAGAGATCAAAGAGAAAATATTGTAAAGGTTACACCTATTGAGTATAGTGACTTATATAAAGGTAAATATGATTTTTATATAATGATTTTAAAATGATAATATTTAAATTTTATTATCATGTTGGAATGATAATCCAAATAAACGACCAACTATGTAACAAGTTGTTAATATGTATTTGAATTTAACATTTTGTAAGCATGCATAGTAATAATTCTGAATTGTTTTTAAGCAATTGATACAAGAATACAACTTAGATTTAATAAACAATAAAATAAATTCACATATTATATCAAACAGAAAATTATTTTTGGAAATATTTGATAGAAAAGATCATATGGATATTCTCATTGATAAGTTAATTGAACTTTTAATTAAAACATAAGATGTGAGAAATAGTTTTAATAAAATAAAATGTTTTATTAATCAATGAATATTACTTTCAAACTGAAATTCAAATGATATTTTTGAATGGTTTAAAGATAATCAAGTGGAATTAAAATATATCTTTATTTTAGAAATTTTTTATTATAATATTATTATTTTTAAAAAAAATAAAGATAAAGTATTTTAACTGTTTTTAAGTGCTTCAACAAATAATTATCTTATTACATCAGTTTTCTTGTAAAATATTATGATATTATGATTTAGCATTTAATTGAATAGTAAAAAGCCATAGAAAATAAAAGTATCTTTAAATAATTTAATCTTGATATATATTTTGAAATAGTATAGATACTGAAAAAGATTTGAGTAAAACCTTTTATTGATATCAAGAAGTAGCAAATAATAAAATTTAAATAGATTATATAATTTAAGATGATGTTATGAATTAGAAAAAGGAATTAAAAAAATGAGATTAAAACATTTGAAACATATATGATACTATCTAAAAAAGAATATATAAGTGAAAATATAAATTTAGAATTTATTATTATTTAGGAATAAGAACTGAAATTAATAAAGAAGCGGTATTTAAAATATGCAGAGATTTAGCTAAAAAAGAATCTAGTCATACACAAGATTTATTAGATTATTTATATAATAATTAAAAAAAATCTAAATTAAGCTTTTAATTAGTATCAAAAAATAGCAGAAAATGAACACAAAAATGTGCAATATAATCTTGGCTACTTATATTATTATGGTATAGGAATAGAAAAGAATTTAGAAAAGGCATTATATTGGTGTTAAAAGGTAGCAGAAAATATGCATAATATAATCTTAGTTATATATATTATATGGTAAAGAAATAGAAAAAGCATTAGAAAAGACATTTTATTTGTAACAAAAAGTAATAGAAAATAGCAATGAATTAGCAAAGTATATTTTAAATAAATGTTATTAAGATAGAAAATAAATTGATAAAAATTTAGAAAAAGCATTCTATTGGTATTAAAAATAAATAGAATATGATAAGAAATAGTATTTTATGATTTAGCAAAATATTATCAAGATGGAATTAGAATAAAAAAAATTTAGAAATTGCTTTTTACTAGTTCAAAAAGTACCTGAAAAGGGAGATATAGGCTCTTTGCAATAGAAAGGAAGGAAACTACCAAAAAAATTTTTTTTAAGTTAATATTAAATCTGAATCTATTTTATTAAAAAAATAATATTTAGCTTATAAAACAAAAAAAAATTTTTTTGGTAGTTTCCTCCCTTTCTATTGCAAAAAGCTCATATAATCTTATTGAATCACAAATAGAGGTTGAAGCTAATTTGATTTTAAAAATACAGTTTAAATTTAAACTAAAATCTAACCTAATGTTAATCTGATTTTAAACTAAAATCAGGTTAACCAAATAACAAATAAAATCTAAATCTAAGAAAGATTTATTTAACTTTTTTTGAATATAATTTTTGTGTAGTTAGTTATTATTAGTTAAGTCTATATAAAGATATAAAAGTTGAAATTATAAAAGTAGAATTTATTATTTTAAGATTTTAGATATCTTTTTTCACGACAACCTTATTTTTTGAAAATATGAAGGTAAAATTTATTATTTTAAGATTTCAGACATTTTTTCTAACTTAATTCTTTTATTAAAACGAATTTTTAAGGTCTATATACAAAATTTCTAAATACTTAACTTTTTCTATTTTAAAATAAATATAATGAACATATCTAATATAATTAATTTAATGAATATAATGAATATAATGAATATAATATTTATTATAAAATAAAATGTAATTATAATAAATTTAAGAAATCTATAATATTATAAATTTATTTATGTATAATAATAACATTTAGATTACTTATTTATACATATATAATAGTAATGTTTAGACTACTAATTTATATGTATGTTATAATAATATTTATAATACATATTTATGCATGTGTAACTGTTATTTTTATATATGTATAATATGATCCATATTTAAGTAATGATTACGTAAATAATATATATACTCTATGGACTTTTTAGTTATAATTGAAACTTTATAAGCTGTAATTAGTGTAATATTGATAAAAAAATATGAGTTTTAAATAAAAAAAATTTATACATTACTATATTTTATATGTATACCAAGTATATATCTGCATGTTAATTTTTTTTTCACGTATTAATTTATTTTTTGTATCTGTCATTTTTTGTGTATTACTATGTTAAGTTTTCTTTACATATCATCAATTTATTTTTAAACGCGTGAATTTTTGCATCTGAATGACATTTTTTTTACAAAACATGATATTTTTTCTGAAATACTAATTTTGTCAATATTCCTAATACCTTAATGTCATCTAAACAGAAACTAAGTGAATCCACTGATAGTATTTCTAATAAGTCGAGTTAAGTCAAGTTTTGAATCAAAATTATCCTATATACCTTTAATTTAAAATACTTATTTATTATGTGTAACTAAAATTTACAATTATGCACATTCATACAAGTCAAATATGTGAGTTTATGCGAGTCATTTTCAGAACTCTATCTACTGAATTACGTTAAAAGAGATTAGCTAGGGAAACGCAGATCAGTTTGAGAAAAAGAAAAATATTAATAATGAAAATTGTCTACCTGAAACTCAGTTGCTAACTAGACAAAAAGAAAGTGAATCATCTGAAATATGTCAAAAAAGGTTAGCTAAAGAGAGGCAGGCTAATTTGAGAAAAAAATGAAAGAACTATTTAAGAAAGAGATGGAATGTTATAACTGGTAAAAGGAGAATAGATGAATTAGAATGTATAAATAATGGAATAACACATTATGAATTAGGCTGAATAGATCAAATCTGCATCCATTATGGTATTAAATTTTGAATAGATGAAAAGAATCAGAATAGCTCTCTTACATCTCCTATATTTTCAACTTGCTATACGCATAGCAAAGTTCATTTAACATATTTGATTGAATCGCTTTCTTATTTGGTAAATCTGTATATTTTGTCTGATTCTGATGTGATTTCTTTTCACAAAAATATTAGGCATTATAATAATATTCTAATATATACATTACTTGGTATAACTATAGACACAATCTCAGGTCAAGACATTTCTGATTTTCATATTCATAGCCAAGTTTATTATCATATTGGTTTATTGCTATCAGAAAAAGATCTTCAGTCAGTGTTTGCATAGTTATATATTTATAATATTATGTATGAGAATGCATATCGTCATAATATTATACTAGACTTAGATAATACTATTCTATATAATCTGTTAATCATGTTGGATGAATAAAATTCTTATATCTAAAACTTTCATTGCGTAAAAGACCTTATTTAAATAAACGTGTCTAATAAAATTTTTATGGTTATTCATGCTGATTGAACACAAAATCTCTATCACTATAATGTTTTTTTTGCTTTTAAAGTTACTGCAATCATGGTTGGTGATGATTATAAGCTGCATGCAGCAAATTGTGATATTATTTTTAGGATGTGTGATGAAAGTTTATAAAGAATATCAGAAACTCATCTATCTTATAATCCCCTTTATTATGTATTGCTATTTCTACAAGATAATGATAGATGGTATGTGGATATACTTCTTATAAGTTCTGAAAAAAGTAAAAGTATATTAACAATGTGATTCTATTCTTACAAACTACAGATTAGGGATGGAGATTGGATTCATAATGCAGGCTATTTATACCAACAATATATTGTTGACTAATATACTAAGATAAAACAGAATCGTTTGAATTACCTTAAATTAAATCAAGCCTCTTTACATACTGATTTATATCATGATGTTTCAGATGCATTATATGCTATGAACAAAAATAATGTTAATCATCGTATAATTCTTCTATCTTCATTTATTAGTGGTCTGCGCTAAATGTATCAGCTATACCAGGATGTAATGACCATTGTAAATTATTTTGACAAGTCCAATCTCTTTGTAATATTCACCTATAATCCAAAATAGCCTAAAATTACCAAGAAGTTAAGACTTTATCAAAGTGCTAATAATCATTCTGATTTGATTGCTCATGTATTTCATATAAAATTGCAGGAGTTTTTGAAAAATCTATTGCATAATAATTGTCATGGTAAAGTTATAGCATATATATATGTTATAGAATTTCAAAAATATGGTCTACCACATGCCCACTTCTTACTTATATTAGATTCAGAAAGTAAGTTGTAAACAATAGAAGATTATGACTCCATTGTCTCAGCTGAAATCCTAAACTCGTTGATACATTCACTTGCATATGGAACTGTGATAACTATTATGATGCATGATCTATATGGTGCTATAAATCCTTCTTCACTGTATATAAAAGATGGTGTATATCAGAAACATTACTCAAAGAATTTTAATGAAACAACTAAAAAAGATAATAATGGTTATCCAATTTATCATAGAAGAAATAATGGCCATTTTGTTGAAATTAGAAATGGTGCTCAGTTGGATAACAGATGGGTTATATCACATAATGTAGATTTAGTAACAAAATACAATACCCATATTAATATTGAAATTTGCAACTCAATATTGTCCATTAAGTACCTATATAAATATGTTTATATGAATCATGATCAGACTATAATAGCATTATACTAATTAGTTCATAATAATAGACAGCATATATTAGATTATACTGAATCTGTTGATAAGATTAAAATGTATCTTGGTTTCATCTTCTGAAAGCATTTGAAGAATTTTCTGTTATAAAATGTATGATTATTCTCCAGTGATACAACAGCTTGCTATTCATCTTCTGGATCAACAATTTATTACTTTTCAGGAAAGAGAAGATCTTTAATGCATTATAGATTATGCTAATTCATGTAAAATGACTTTGACAGTTTAGTTCTAAGTAAACTTAGAAGATATTACAACTTGCGTCTATATGTATAGTGAGTTTCCTGTTTATTATACTTGGAATAAAGCTAATTATATGTAAAAATCTGTAAGAATACTACATCTACAATTAGAAGAGTTTATATAGTACAGCCTTCAGAAGATGAAAGATATTACCTTCACATCTTATTAACATATGTTAAAGGTGCAACTAGCTTTGATAACCTAAAAAAAGTGTTTGTAACAGCTTCAAAGAGGCTTGCATTTGTTTGTTCCTTCTTTAGAATGATGATAAATGGAATGCATGTTTACTTAAAGCAAGTGTAATATAATTAGATAAACAATTGTGAAGCCTTTTTACCTTTATTCTTCTTTTCTGTCAGCTGGTGAATTCTGAAGTATTGTGAAATAATCACAAAATGACCTTATGTGAAGATATTTATTATTATAATCATGTACTGATACAATCCTAAAATGATACTATAAGTTACACAATTGAATGTGAGACACTCCATCAATTGAAAGATTATCTTTTGCTTAATGAAAAATCACTAAGAGAATTTTCAAATATGCTGATTCTTCCACCAAGATCTTTATATATAGATTATAGTAGTAATGATTTGAATCAATTAATTTGTGAAGAAAAGTTATATAATATTACTCAGTTTAGAGATAATATTATGTGAAATATTCCTCTATTAAATGCTGATCAAAGTAATATATATGAGGCTATTATGCATGCAGTTGCATGTGTAGATAGATATTTTTTTTATAGATGGTCTTAGTGGTACTGAAAAGACTTTTTTGTATAATATTTTTCTGTCAACTGTTAGATCATCTGGTAAAATTGCTATAGCAGTAGCATCATCTGAAATTGCTGCTCTTTTGATGATAGGTGGTAGAATTGTATATAGCTGATTCATAATTTCACTTAATATTAATGAATCTTCAATATGTAACATTTTGTGAAATAGTAAAAAACCCAATCTAATTATTTTGGCAAAACTTTTTATCTGGAATGAGACCTTAATGATTCATAAATTTGCATTTGAAGCACTGGATCAGACATTTTATGATATCATCCAAGTTGATAAGCCTTTTGAAGGTAAAGTCATTATATTTGAAGGTAATTTTTATCAGACGCTTCCTGTGATACTGCATGCATCACATGTTGAAGTTGTCTCATCAAGTCTAAGTTATTCATCTTTATAGAGTCATATGAAAGTGATGAAGTTGACAATTAATATTAGGCTTCATCAGTTTGATAACCCAGTGAGAACTAACAGCAAAGCATTTTTGCTAACTTTCTTTTACAGATTGGTAATGGTAAGCATCCTGTTGTTTTAAATACAGAAGATGTGATTGAGCTCCTTTCTGCTATGATAATTTCTGAAAGTGAATTATCAGATCTTATTTATTTTGTTTATTCAAATTTAATTGAAAATTCTGAAAGTATAAATTATATAGTTGGCAGAGCTATTTTGACTCTGAAAAATGATGATGTTAAATATATATCAACCTTAATAATGAATTAATATTCAGATAAATTTCATATATATCTTAGCGTAAACTCTGTGGATTTAACAGATAGTAATTCAGACTAGTCTTAACTATATGCTTCAAAATTTTTAAGATCATTGAAAATTCCTAGCCTTTCCTCTAATAATTTGAGATTAAAAGTGAGAGTTCTGATCATACTGCTATGAAATTTAAATTCTTCAAAAGGACTTTATAATAGGATATAGTTAATTTGTTATGGCCTTTATAGTAAAGTAATTAATGCTAAGTTTATTATAGGTTCACAAATGGATAGGTATTGTAGAGTTAAGAATTTCTAGAACTAATATCACAAAGGAAAATTAAAGAAAAAATTGGCTAAATAAAAGATTAACAGATAAATATTTAACTGAAAAGCTAAGATACAGAACATGATTAAACTATTAGTCAAAGGAAATAGATAAATTACTTACTGAAGGAAAAGGATAAATTACTTATCAAAGGAAAAAGAATAAATTACTTACAAAAGAAAAAATGATAAATTACTTACTGAATAAAGGAAACTTAGAAAAAATATTAGATAGAAAAGTTAAAAATTATAGGAATAGGATTAAAGAATGAGATTAGGAATTATAGGAATAGAATTAAGAAATAAGATTAGAAATTGTAGAAATAGGATTAAGGAATGAGATTAGGAATTGTAGGAATAGGATTAAAGAACAAGATTAAGAATTATAGGAATAAAATTAGGAATCACAGAAATGATCTACATTAATTTTTATATAAATAAAATAAAATTTTTTATGTAAAAGAGATCATTTCCCAAAAAGTGATATATTTAGCTTAGGTTAGATTTGATTTTGAAGAGTGCAAGGTTAGTTTTCTTTAAAATATAGTTTTTAAATGAGATTTTTGTTTTTTTTTGTGATTTATTTTTATTTTTGTTTTTAGTTTATCTATGAATGTATAAATGGGTTAAGCTATTAAAACCACCTTACGGGACCTCACCAACTAAAATTGAGATTTTTGATTCATATTATTATATGATATATGAACTTTATTTGTTTAAATTTTTATAGTCG